GTTTTCTTTCTAGTCTGGAACTTCCTTGATATCTTATCGAGGGTTTGCGATGAGCGAGTTAATTACGAGTTGATGTAGATACGATCTACTGGGAAGCTAGCTAGCTTTGTCCTTGGCCACACACACTAGGTTTTCCATGATGAATTTTTATGTCTTCGTAAAATTACTAATGTTTGATGAGAATCCACTGAAGTTAAATGATTTGTAACGTTTGAAATTTATAAATATTCCTGGTCAGATATCTTATGTTTTCCAATTGATAAGCATTATAACAATCACAGTTATAGCTTTCGAAGTTTTATAGCACATCGATTATAGCAAACTAATAATAGACACTCTCCTTAGTGTGGCACGTTGGTTATATTTATAGCTATAGGAAGGTTTTCTAGAAAATTCAGTCTTACGAAACAATATTGGTGAAAGCATTTACGTATATAGATATATTGTTGATTCTTACGCTCGAGAATCTTCTACAACTTTGGAGAATAGGTGGGAGTTTCACAATACCTATCTAACAGTATAAGCTATGTATGTTTCTAAATATAAACTTAATCTAAATAACATTCATATTAAAATAAATATGTAACAACAAATTCATTACAGTATGTTTTGTCCTCTGTTTCAATATATATTTCCAGTGCTGTATATCGTATACATTACATTGTTTCATTTCTGTATAATCATAAGTTTGCTTGTTTGTTGTTTTATTCATGTGACAATGAAAATTTCTAAAATATACTTACCTCTATTTATACTACAACTATTAGACTGTTAGGGTTTCTTTTCCTTTACCCATCTAAGCATTGGTCTGATTTTTTCTCACATGCTCCAGTCTTTTATTACCCACTTAATTGTCCTTGGCAATATCTGTCTCATGGCACTCTCCAGCTACGTCGAAAGCGCTTTATATTGATACTGTATATAAGCACCATTGGAGATACTTTTAACATTCTTCATGTTATCTGTTGGATTTTCGTTTAAAAAAAAAAACTTGTTGGCTGGCAAGCCGATATATGGCATGAATTCCCAGATTAATGTATCCAGCAAGGAGGTAAATCAGGTCTCTCCTATTCAACCTGTGATATCTAGCATTGCCCAAGAATCTAAGAGGGTGTGAGGGGGTTTCTCTTGGTTGAGGCTATCTGTGACCTTATCTGTAGTGAGATGTACGTTCTGTCCAGTGGTGTTTCTCCAGGACTGGACATTCATTTCCAGCACCTTCCTTTACTCTATTGGCTTCTCATGATGCCAGTTTGGAACAGCTCCCTTCAGCTTCTTTTCTTCAGTGGTAAATCGATTATGTGATGTTTTGGGTCTTTCCCCACTTGCTTTGATGGCAGAAAAGTGTGAGGGGAAGTACTTAGTTCTCCCACCATCCCCTGATATTCCAATTCATGCAGGGAGGCTTACTGCTCAGTTACATGAAGGGACAGCTATGCCTTGTCCACCACATTTGTCAGAACAACATGCTTTAGCCTGCCACCACCAGGTGGAAGTATATTTAGACTCTCAGAGAATAGATCTGCTTCTAGAAATATAGGATTACAGAACAGAGTCTGTGGTCAACCTGAGTAGATCACAATTTTCTAAGATTCGTCTGATCCTAACTACAGTGCTGAGATATTTATCATCCCTACACCTTTTTTTGGAAACATCTCAATGATTATCATATCAATTTAATGACAAGTTGGGACCATTGTTAGCATCTACCTTGGTTTGATTATAAGCTTCTGCACTTTTCCTACTCTCTTGGCTGGTATATTGTTGGGTAGAGATGCATTGTTGGAGGGCAATCGTCTACCTGCTTCCGCCCTCCATGAGTTACATAAGGCCCCCTTTCTCCTACCATTGATTTTTGCAGGCATTCCAGAGTCTTTGGAATCAAGGTTTGATGCATTCATCCATGTCTTCGTTAGCTTCTTGACTTTCCTTTTCTCCTACGTGGTTTCATTGTTCAGCCTCTCAGTTCATTGGTATTCACAATAGATTCTGCCCATATCCACAATATTCCTCTACTTGGTTGGAACACCACCAGTGGTGACAGTGACTACCATATACCTACTGGGTCTGTTGGGGCTTGGCTATTAGAACTTCTGGACGTGTGGAAAGCTTTTACCATGGATCCATGGGTACTATAGGTCCTTGCATCAGGATTAGTCATTCAGTTCACATCTTCACCACCATTATTCCCCAACCTATAGTGTTTCTGCCTCCCTCAGATCCTCTGATTTTGGAACTTCGTTCTAGGGCTATCAGAGATTTTTTGGTCAAGGGGGCAGTGGATAGAGTTGTTCTAGTTCTTTCATGATTTTATTCTCGTCTGTTTGTTGTGCTCAAATAGATAGGAGATTGGCATCCAGTCATCAATCTTTCTCATCTAAATCAATTCCTAGATCCTCCAAAGTTCACTATGAAGTCACTCCTCACTCTGCATTGCCATTTTTCGTCAGGACTGTGGATGGCCAAGTTCAATGTCACGGACGCTTATGTGCATGTTCCCATAGTGGAATCATCCCATCTCTATCTGTGTTTTTTGCCCAAGGGTCCTCAGTAGATGCATTTAGTTAGGATTGGACTGGATTGCACCTATATCCCTATCCACTGATTCGTCTATTACCCAGAGAACTAGCAATGATTCATTTAACCTCTTGTTGGTAACACCAGATTAGCTGGCTCAACCCTGGTTTCCGCTTTGATGGTACTTTCATGAGAGCCCACCTCTTCCACTTCCTCTTTGGTCATCTCTGTTGATGCAGCCGTGCTCCAACATCTCACACACATCCATCCAGAAGCTCCAGCTTCATGTGTGGAGGTTATGCAATCCTTCATATGGCACTGGGGTTTAATTTTTAATGTTGCCATTTACCTGTTTCACTCTATGCGTCGTCTCACGGTGGATATCTTATCAGTGGTAATGGCACACATATCAACAATGGTGTATTGTGAAGAGGTTGAACCCACTTTGTCCAGACATGCCAACCTTAGCTCGATTTTTGACCTGGCTCTTTTACAAGGGTTTCCAATCTTCCACAATTGCCCTATATAAGATTACCTTATTGGCTACCTTTAGATACTTGCTCTGCTCTTCAGTCTCCTCAACTCGTTTCAGGTCTTTTGTCCCAAACGACCATTTCAGTTATTTAACTGGGATATAAAGGTGGGGTTACACACTCTTTCTCGACATCTGTTTGAGCTCTTAGCCTCATGTACCATGTATCACCTTTCCCTTAAGGTTTATTTTTGTTTCTGCTGGCCTGTGGACATTGCCTGTAAGGGAAGGGGATAAATCATTTTCACCAATTCATCTGACTGTTATTTCTTCCATCTATGACCGATTGGATCCCAATTATTTGTTAATGTCCAGTGAGGGTCTTGAATTGTTATGCTGCTAACACTAAAGCTTTTAGAAGTGCTAGACAGTGGCTTTTTTTTTCATTATGATCCTTCAATATCCTGGGATTTATCCTCGGTTACCTTGACAGGGTGGGTATGAAAATTGATCTGTATTGCTTATTCTGGGCTCTCTTTGGAGGCTAGGAGTCTTATGCAAATCACATCTCATCAGATTCATCACATTTCTATGTCCTCAGTGGCCTGATTGAATTGCCCGCTGAAGGACTTTGTGTGGGCTGGTATGTGGACCTCCTCAATATTTATATCTCACATTATTTGCATGATCTGGCAGTATTTTCCTCTGAGGGTTTTTGACTACTCCCTATAGCTATATTAACCACATCCACTAAAATATAAAGATGAGTGAGTATTTTCATTACTAATCACATCTATTCATTCCTTTCCATGGTCCTTTACCTTTTTTTGCAGGATCCCACTCTGTGATGTATGTTGCCCAGTGAGATGTGCTTTTATCAAACCAAATCTGCACTAGCAACCACTAATACAATATACTTTATCTAGGTTGCAACAAGCTTTGTAGAAATGAGGTTTCCCTTAAGAGGCAGACCAGGTGGTGTTATTGTACTATGCTAGACTGCTACTTGTGGTTATCATGAGTAAAACATAAGGGGTTCCTGCCCACCCCTGACAATCAGTAGCTTACATAAATTGGGGTCGGCTTGCTTTTAAAAATTTAGGAAACTTGATTCACCTGTAGCACTGCTTCCAGAGCAAGAGAATTGTTCCTCAGGAGTCTCCAACATGCATTACCCCCCCCCCCCCATATTCTACTGGTGGAGTTAGGGAGTCCTTACCACTCCCGGTTTCCAGTCACTTGAGTGGAGGACAGAGGTTATTCCTCCAGAGTGTCTGAGTGACTTTCCTCCACTCTTGGGGAAGAGGGCATAGTTGAAAGCCCTCCTACCCGGGACCCTGGATGTTTATTTTTTACCAGATGTTGGTGTGAGTGGCACCAGCCTATGCAGGAACCTACTTGTAATACTGGCTCATTTAATGCTCATCTATCCATTTGGGTTGAGCATGGCTCTTCTTTTTAATCAATATTGGTTCAGTACATTGTTCATGGAAGAGGGTACATTGTCTCCTCATAATTCTGAATACAGAGTGGACCCATTCTGGGTCCTTGGTTGAGCACAGTTTGTTCTGTGTCCTCCCCATAATTCCGGAGGTAAGTGGCATTTACCCTGCCCACACGGTTGGGGAGTGAGGATGAGTGTTCATAATTCCAAACCTGATGAGTTCTGTTTCCTCAGGTTGAGTGTGGGATACAGGATCCCTTCATTTAGAGTTTGGGGTGTTGCCTTTCAATATTTTTCAGGATGAGGGGAGAGTTTGTCTACTTTGGTGTTGCTTACCTTCTTATTGTGATTCCAGTGGCTCAGAATGCATCACTCTGCAGCTACAGGTTGGGATCCATTCACAACTATATATATATTTCAGTCCAAATGCCCTAGCCACCAACATGAGTTTTAGGAGCCATGGCCCTATAATTCCAACCCCTTGGCTACCTGGTTGGAGCCTGGCCAATGGGGAGGACAGATCATGTCAAATTCCACCAACAGTGCAGGATTTCTTCTATTTCTTATGGCATGCCCATCATCTATGCATATGCATTCTGTAAGGATAAGCCTTCACCAGCCCCTCCATCTTATCGATGTGGGATTCTAGCTGTTGTGTAAGTAGAGGTATGTTTTGGAAATTAACATTTTCTTAAACAAAAAATGTATTTCCAATAATACTTACCTCCTTCCCACTAAGAGCTGGTGTTAGAGACTGTGAATTGGGTGAGTCTAGAAAAAGTGACAATATTATCTGAAGGAGGTGGTTACATACAATACAAGGATAGAGGATGCATTAATATAGGTGGAGAGTCAGAAGACAGATATCGTCAAGGACAATTAATTGGGTAATAAAAGACCAGTGCAAGTGAGAAAAAATCAGACCAATGCTCAGATGGGCAAAGGAAAAGAAACCCTAACAGTTGAGTGAGAAGAGGTAATTATCATTGGAAATACATTTTCAATTTAAGAAAATGCTAACTTATAAAGCAGTTTACTATACATATGTGATTCATTTTTCAGGTTCAGAAGAAATATTTACTTTACAAGAAGCAGGAATAGAAGGTCTGTGTGATGATTTAACCTCATCCTGTAGTCAAGTGAGAGTCACAGGAAGTAATTTTAAAGCCTCCTTAACTTTTTCATGCAAGGTCACATTAGTCAAGGTAAATAAACTTGTTCAGACTGCTTAAAAGTATTTTTTAGAATATGTATATTTTAACTATTTCCTGTATTAAGACATAAAAACATGGCTTGGTTTTCCACAAGTTTTACAAGTTCACTTTCAGGTAATAAATTTTAAACTATGCAGTTTTAAAGACTAGGTTTGGTATGAAAATTCAGTGAAGTTGACTTAATCTTTCTTACTCATAATAGTGGGAAGTTTTTGTGTGTAAATAACATCAAACTTAAGTTGTGTTATTAGAACTTAAGATTAAATTTGCTTTTATGTTCCAGATTCAATATTTTTGATTTGCACTAGAATGAATTACAACTTGCATAAAATAGTACTTAAGAAATAACACATAGTACATTTATATGTGAAATGCCTCTGGAGAAACGTTTAGGTGACAATTAAAACAATGTTAACACAATTTGTGAGTATTAGTATATGTCATTTTAATGGTAATTAGATATTATTCACAGAAGCAATGAAAGAGAATCATCAGTTGAGTTCTGTATGAGGAACTCTAATTATTTTGCCACATGTAGGTAGCCAAACTACACAGACTTTTAGTATTATAGTTATTGTTTACAAGTGCTCAATCTTATAATACGTTATACTTTAAGTTTTTTTGTAACTCACCATTTTCTTTGAAATATTAGTGAAACTAAGCACTGTTTGTGTATTGTTTCAGTTTGACAACAATACTGGTGACTTTCACATTGCAGGGACTATTTCCATCTTGTCAGCCTCTTATTTGGACAACCAGACAATACAATGCCCATTACCAGATACTGCTGAGAGAAGAATTACTGCTGGTTCAGAAACAACATGGGAAATCAAGGTTACAGAAATTATTTCAGATATATTTTTTACATACATTTATGTAAATATACAATGATATTTAATGCAGTTTAATACTTAGAACATTTTCATAAGTTTCAAATAACATAATTTAGAGAAGTTATTTTTGGAAATGTTTCTTACTTATGCTACAAGTTAATAATGAAAGTTAAAAAATTCATTTCTGACATATTTCAACATAAGCTCTGGATTTTAGTAATTTCCATAACTCATTAGATTGGAGAAATAATCAGTTCCTATATTCTTCTAACATTTGAAGTCTGTATGTAAATACATTTATTTTTATTCCATGCTCATTGAAAACAATTATATTGTTTTTATGCGTTATTTAGCCAAGTGATGAGCACACAAAGGACAAGGTTTATTTGAATATATGTAAAAATTTCTCTCTCTATGTATATATAATAAATTTAGAAAATAAAATAATGCTTATTTAAGAGTTACATATATTGAATTTTTATAGTGTTATTTTCTTACTTTTGAGCTCCTCCTGGTGGCTCAGCAGTAAATTTGAGAGCTTATAATGCTAAAAGTCAGGTTTCAATACTCACGTTTGTAGCACAGCTAGCCAATTGTGTAACTTTGTACTTGACAAAAAACAAATGGAGAAATGAAATTTCCTAAAACTGAGCTAGTAGAAAACGATTTTAAGAAAGTGTTTGTGATTTGCTATGAGATAAGTAAGGCTTTTTTTTCATTATGGAATAAAATCATTTACATTATGTCTTGGCACTTCAAAGACTACAAGCCAATGATGAAACTGTTACTCATTGAAGGCAAGAATAAAAGTAACACTATATTCATATAATTTCATGTAAAGATTACTGTGTAAATGTCTAGTAATAGCTGCGTGATTTGTTATATGGGAAGTAAAGGTTTTAGAAGATAATTTGTTATACATTATAAAATGAATTTAAATCAGTTTAAAATAACTTGAAAGCCTAAGATTAAGGTTTTTGTCAGTTCTGTTTAATTAGTAATCAAGATTTCATTGAACCTAAAACAGTACTTGCCTGCTTATTTAGGTTTGTCCTATTTGGTGTCCTACTTGCTTGTTTAATAAATATTAAGTGTATTTACACTGCAAATTAATAAATACCTAATGTTTATCTATGCATTTTTATACTTTCTTAGATTAGCAATGACCATGTTGAGTTCAGTACACCAGTTTATGTGACAGTGTATAATTCATCATGTCAGTCCTGTGTTCCAGGTCATCCACCACTGTGTAAAGTACATGTGAGTCTTTTATCTTTGTATTATGTGAAATAAAAGTTTTCTTTAATTATTATACTACAGAAATATTTTCAGTGTATACTCACTTTCAAACAAAACATTCTTGATTTCTTACAAATGTTAAGTGATAGCCCAAATGATGTTGTACTACGTAAAAGAAAGTCGTCAATAGTGAATTGTGTTTTATGAGATTGTCATTTAACAGAATGATAGCAAGAGTGAAAGGATGTGATCAGGCTAAAAAAAAAACAGCACAAGGAAAGATCTGCCAATGCCTTCAACTTCTCAAGATTAATCTAATATTGATAATGCAATGTGCTCAAGTTGCATATTTGAAATGAATTAACTCAAGCATAGTGTAAATTGAAACTCTCCAGTGTCTATCCTCTTGAAAATGATAAAAAATTAATACATCTAGAGTAGCATCAACCACTTAATACATTTCGTTTTTTACAGATGGCACTTACATTAAATAAAAGTGACAGTGGCTATTTTACTGTCTTGTGGCTCCCACCCTCCAGTAGTGCTAATGTGTGGTTTTCCAACTTCCAATATGAACTATCAACCATATAATATGAATAAAAAGATTGGTAATGGTGCAAAATATTTTTTAAAACGAAAGTTTTTTTTCTTAAAGTAAAGAATTATAATACAAAAAATTATGCATACCTTCCACACACATTTGTATCAAAATAATATTGACCCAACACTAGTAAATTCCTCTTTACAATACCTCAGTCATCAGACTATTATTATTCTTAGGCATTTATTAGAGCCAATAGTGGGCACACTTTATATTTAAACAGGAAATAGTCTCCATAACATTATATTTCCTTTTTCCACACTTAATACCATTGTTAGCTATGAAATCTAGCTGTTTAATCTGCTACCTTATGCAGGAAAGATGTGTCCACATGGATAAGTGAATTACTCTTCAGTTTCAAAATCATTTAATAATTGACCAAAGGT